TGTCAGTCAGACCCGCTTGAATGAATTTGTGGTCAATTAATCGTCATCAGTATTTGAGAAGATAATCAATCTGTGATAAATCGTGGAAAAATACGAATTATCACCTGCTCTCATGGAGTGGCAAAAGATGGCGGTCGTGCAAAGAAAGATGACACACGTTTAAATGGTAAACATGGACCCAACAGCAAATGAAGATATGCCTAGCAGTCGGCACTGTAAATAGTGGCTGGGTGCGTTTCCTTTCAAGCAGTGGCAGGATGCATTTCCTTTTATTTATTTCAATGGTAAACCGTTAACTGGGACAAGTGCTGTGTAGCGAATATAAATATTAATTTTTATCTGAATCTCAAGGATCCCCTGAAACTCATTTTCGGATTCTTGGTTAAGAAGCCTTGATGAAGCATGTTTCTACAAAATTGGATTTAGCCCTATCAGTGTCTTTCAGGAGATGAGGATTCTCATTTGACACACGTTTAAATGGTAAACATGGACTTAACAGCAAGTCAAGATACGTCCTAGCGGTCGGCACTGTAAATAGTGACTGGGTGCGTTTCCTTTCAAGCAGTGATAGGACTCATATCCTTTTATTTATTTCACTGATATTCATTTTTATCTGATCCTCAAGGACCCCTGAGACGCATCCATTGATCCACTAGGGGGTCCATGGACTCCAGGTTGAGAAGCCCTGCTTTAATAGATACTAGGGAAACATCAGTTGCAATCATTCGCTTGCAATGTTCGCTTGTACTTAATTTTTGAAATAAGACCTATATACGTTTTTTCAATATATAAGATAGTAGTAATGATTTTAAATAAATGATACAGCTCAGTTCAATAACATTTTTATCGGCCAATACAGGTTGATTTGTTTTTTTTTACGGTTTATCAACCTTTTGCATTTACATTCTTTACATTATTTACATTATTCGGACTATTGTTCTCATCTTTGTCGCCTTATTTATCACAACGTTTCGGCCGTTGTACGCTCCGGCCTTCTTCAGGTGGTTGGAATGTTGAACTGAACCCTTTATTTCATTCACTGGGGTAGACTATTCTAGTTCCACGTGCCATGTTTGATGGATGTCAGTTATCATTTATCTCCTGCTAATTTCCCTCTGAAAGTTCTCCACTGCCTTAACCGGGTATTGAACTCACACTCTTTGGATCACTGGATCTAACCAACGCCTTTATCCACTGTGCCATGTGTCCTATGAATTTCTAATGTCTTCAGCAACCATTTTTACCAGTGCTCATATTGCAATTTTGCGGTTATCATTGCATTCAATTTTTTAGAATGTAGGAATTGTTTTCTTTTTAGATAATGATTTACTTACTGATACAAATTCTACTAATTAACCCATAGCTGGGGAGAAGATGTGGATTCTTACTTTTTCCAAGGTATTTGCACGAAAGTGAATATAACGAATTCGACTGGAATTGTAACGCGTCTCTCCGATTTCCAATTCTGAGTTGTCATACATTACACCACTCACACATCCAAGCTTACAGCACCTGGAATTCTCAAGCAGTCACCCATCTAGGTTCTGATCAGGCTTGACGTTGCTTCATTTCGATCCTTGATATATAATATACCCAGGACTCTTTAAGGGGATTTGAGAGAGGGAATCGAGTTCATAACTGTATGTAAAAATGAATTAAAACAAATAAATAAAATAATAATAGATTTAAAAAAAAATTAAAATAATAAATTTATTTTCCCATGATGCAAGTTATAAAGGAACCCGAAAGGGTTTCTAGTCACATGCGCGACTTTATGACCTCACTTCCGCAAAGAATAGAATCTTTATCTTTTCTATTTTCCAACGATAACGTTCGGACGTGTTTCCGCAGCTCTACTTATGAAGGAAATAAATAGATGGTTCCAAGTCAGCGCAAAGCTGACTTGAGCTCGACCATTTTAAACATTGTTATCCTAACTTACTTCTGGATCGAAAAGGAAAACGGGCATACCCAAGCGGCTTTGTTTAACTGAGAACTTTATTTCATTATTTTGGCTTTCTTCTTCGGGCCGTTTATTATTTTCATGTTTTTTCTAAGATGGAATTGTTATGTTCATCTCTTAGAAAAAAAATCGACACCCTAACGATACCATTGTGCTAATGTCGAAAGTACTCGGAATAAATGAATATGCATCAACATGGTCATTTTCTCTCTTTCTTTAATAAGGATACTAAGAACATTGTTCGTGAGTACGAGAGGATCATATTCAAAATAAGTAGACAAAACTTGTCTAAATTATTCAATGAGACATGACTTAATGAAAACATACTGTCAAAATATACTCAATATATATGTATGAAAAAGGTATATTTATCCAAACATGTTAGATTAAAAAAATCGATAATGCCTGTCAATTTTATTTTTTATTGTATTTTTCCAATTATCGAAGCAAATGTATATTGTGTTAGTAATTGGGGATAATCTCTCTGAAGTTCATATTGTTATTGTTTTAGTATGAAGTTTGGACAGTTTATTGACAATTTCACACACAATGCACAACAACTTATTCGAAAATTGGAATACTATAATAAGAATTTTTTTTATTAAACGTATTTGTATATATATATATATATATATATATATATATATATATATATATATATATATATATGTTTCTGTTGAATAATTTAGACATGTTCTGTCTACTTATTCTCAATAGGATCCTTTCATAATCGCGGATAAGCTTTTTGTTGTTGTTATTGAAGGACGAGAGAAAATCGCCATGTTGATGTATATTACTTTTATTTCCAAGTACTTTCGACGTAGCAATGTCATCATCAGGGTATTGTTTATTACAAGATGAATATTGTGGTGTTCACTATTGTCAAAGACAAAATTGTTGGGTTATCTGAAAGTTAAATTTCTTACAAGTGGTGTGAGGAACGCTGCTTGAGCGCTGAAACCGTTTAAGGGGAGGTAACTAAGTATGGTGTTTTTTTATCGAAATGAGTAGTAAAAAGAAAAACTATTAGTGCAAATATTGGTATTTAAAAGTACCTACTGTAGACATTTTAAAACATTTGTGGAGTATTCATAATTATTTTTATTATGTTTTGGTTTCAATTTTTTTAATATCTTTTCATGATATATATATATATATATATATATATATATATATATATATATATATATATATATATATATAATGTGTTTGTGGAAATAAAGTGAAAAGACGCGTATGTACATGAATAATTTAAGGTACATAATGCTTAGATGTGAGTTGTGGTGTAATGGATATCGACTCGAGAACAGAGTTCGAATTCCAATCGAGTTCGTTAGATTCATTTGCGCCCAAATACACCTGGGAAAGGTTTGAATCCATCTCTTCTACCCCCGGCTCTCGGTTGAATAGTAAGACAGACTGGGTTCTTTATCCTTGGTTGGCAGAAAGAAATGGCAACCTACCGCGGAGAAAAAAAAAACTGTCTCGTCAGTCATGTATCGAAAACTACATAATCGCTCAAGCGTGTATCCCGTATGACACTTAACTGACTGAATTCTTAAAACCAGAAAGTGTCAATTGATATTTCTACGACGAGGAAAGAGGGCTTGGAGAATTTGATATTCACAGGACATACTTAAGGCGAGAAGTGAATATCGAGCCATCTTACTAAGTAAATGGATGACCGAAAAAGACTGGTGTGGACAAAACTTGCTTAGTGCTACAAATGATAGGCTGTTGTGGAGCGCTAAAATTATCCACGCCCTGAAGAGACACGGCACATAGAAGAAGGCGGAGGTACAACCGGGAAAATGAATCTGCGGTCGTAAGTTTGGTAATAAACAGACCTTCACCAAGGAAGTCTGCTTTGATTGTTTTGCCTTGTAAGCTTATACCCGTGTAACAATTGTACGAATGCCGAAGACACACATCGATTTATGAATGAAAACAGATGTGGGAGGGAACAGGGACAGACGATTGCACGCATACTCCAGAGAATGTTATATATATATGCCTATATCTCTATAAATCTACCATTCATCCATGCTTAGAATATTGCTGCCAAATATGATACGATGCCCTCTGCTAATTACCATGACCTCTTTGAAAAAATTCAAAGAATCAGCAATATTATTTGTCCTGATCTGGCAGCTCGGCTTCAGTCACTTTCCCACCGCCATAAGGTTGCCTCTCTGTGTCTTTTCTATAAATACTTTCATGGTAATGGTTTGGATGAGTTCTTCACTATGGTACTAAGACTTTTTTAATTTAAGCACAGTACTGGACTGGCATCGGAGTCTCATCAATTTACATTTGGGCTGGCTAGATGGAGCCGTAAGTTCTTTTCTCGCACTTCTTGCTTGTGGAACTCCCTTCTGGCTCCATGCTTTCACGCCAAATCTAATCTGCAAAAATTCAAATATATTGTCTATCTCCGTCTTCCTGATTACTCCTTTCCTGTTCCCACTCATTATTAATGTTTCTCTTTCTAATTCTTCCACACTCTGTAACCACTTGCGTCTTAGTGGCTTTACTACCTTCTATTGGGGGTGATACCGATTAATAAGAAAATGTTTACTAAGTTTGCTTAAAAAATAAAACAAACATATTTTTATTGATATTTTTTATGGCTTATCAACCTTTATTGAAAGCCACAAAATATTTATTTTGGTAAGGGAGATAATAATTATTTACTGGCAAAAATCCTACTAATTAATCCATAGCAAGGGGGAGAAGAGGTGAATTCGTACCTTACTCAAGAGTATTTGCGCGTAAATGAATACAACGAACCCGATTGGAATTGGAACTCTGCTCTCCAACCTTGAGCTGTTATCCATCACACTACCCGTAGATTTGATATTCCCAAGCTGTCACCCATATAGATATTGACTAGGCTCGACATTGCTTAACTTCAGTGATTGTGCGAGAAGCGGTGTACAATTTGATATATCCGTAAGCCATCATAGTCTCACAAAAGAAATTCAATTTATTATTGTTAATATTCGTTCTAGTGTTGTTCTCCGTAATAGACAAATACAATGAAGAAAATGATAGATCAATAGACAGATAGATCGATAGGTAGATAAATGCTGTGAAGAAAATGATAGATTGTTTGATAGATAGATAGATAGATAGATAGATACTATGAAGAAAAAGATAGAGGCTATCAAGTAAACGATAGGTAGATAGATAGCTAGAAACAAAGAAATACAAAAAGAAGGAAAGAGAGAAGGGAAAGAAAGACGGTAGGTGAAGAAGGAAAGAAAGACGGTAAAATGATGGAAACGCAGACAGAAACAAAGAAAGAAAGAAACACGTAAAAGAAGGAGAGATACGCGGGTGGTAGGGAGAAAGAAAGAAATATAGAAAAAAGAAGGAAACGAAGACGGAAAGAAAGAAAGAAACATAAACGGAAAGAAAGAAAGAAAGGAAGAAAGAAAGAAAGAGAGAACAAAGAAGAAAGCAACAATGAAAATAAATAAATAAAGAAAGAAAGAGAGAACAAAGAAGAAAGCAACAATGGAAATAAAGAAAGATAGAAAGGAAGGAAGGAAGGAAGAAAGAAACGGTCGTTGTTTAACATTAAGTCGTACCAACACAAAGGTCTATAAGGCCACGAATATAATTGCTTGCGGTCGTAAATGATAGCTGTAGAAAAATTCTGCAGTGTAGCTTAAAAAAGAAGAAAAAGAAAAAAAAACGCCAGCTTCGTGAATGAGATTTCATTTGAAAGAAAGAAAAGAAAATGAATGAAATTAAAACGAAAACAAATTGTCTCCAGGGTGCAAAATGTTTTTCTCTGCACTAACATTTTCAATTCTGCTACTGCTTTTGTTTATAACAAAACAGAACCTCCCAATGGTCTGCTGATCTTTTCAAAGACATGAATTTAGGCCAGAAACTAACAGTCTCATTTTGCCAACCCGAAATAATTTTATACTAAAAAAAAATATTTGAATGTTATCTTAATGGCGACGCGAGAAAAGAGAACTTTCCATTTCCCCATTATAGGCATTAGTATATCCGTAATATAGGAGGCACGGTGGAGTAATGGATTAAGGAATCGGAGAGACGAATTAGAATTTCAGTCGGATTCATTTACATGCTAATATCCTTCTACTCCTCCCAGCAATGGGTAAATAGCAGGAGAGATTGAATTCTATAGCCTTCGGTGGTTACCGGTCTAGGAGAAGGAATATTTGAATTCAAAACCGGCTGGAGAGGGTTCTGCCCCATCAGGCTATCGTGCCCAAGAAAGATCACTTCTACTAACAGTATATGTGGTGCCCTTACGATCCCGACGAGTCACGGGATTCGCGATCGCCCGGTATCCGTAATACAACGGACGGAACGCTATCGCTGAAAGGAAGGAATAACAAACAAGCATCGTTCTCAAGGAGATTTTTATACCACGATCTCTTACAAGAAATTTTATATATATATACTTTTAAGGTATGCTATATTTATGAGTAAAAGTACTCCATATCAGGGATAGAGTGTGCGTAAATATAAAAAGTGGAAACTGGGATCAACAACGATTGATAGTCTGTTTCATGCCTTCAAGCATGAAACAGACTATCGCCAATCTGTTGTTATTCGGTGTCATATATATATATACATACGTATATATATATATATATATATATATATATATATATATATATATATATATATATGTATATATATATATATATATATGCATTATATATTATATATATATATATATATATATATATATATATATATATATATATATATATATAAAAAATACATCTATTGGATGCTTTGGTACACATCATCAGTGATGTTTCTAGCCGAGGTTCATTAGGGGTTTCGGGGCTTTCAACATCATACCCCCTCTCCACAGTGACCCAGCCGATGTTGATCAGGTATCGACTTGTGTACGTTCGTTAGCTACATATATATATATATATATATATATATATATATATATATATATATATATATATATATATATATAAACCGCAAAATTGTCCAAATGGTGTAAAAGCAAAATTGTCCAGAACAGATAATCGATCCGTTGGTATATAATCCGGGTGGATTGTAGTAATATTAATTATCCACAGAGAGCTCGATGTATTTATTATAACAGAGCATATGTATTTTTTACAGCAAAAAATAAATAAATAAATAAACAAACAAAATAAACCTTACTATAGAGGTTAGTCTATTTCGACTTATGGGCTGATGATTGCCGCGTACAGAACGGCTTGAAATAGACTATCCCCTATGTTGAGGTAATTTTTTATTTTGCTGTAAAATACATATATATATATATATATGTAAAATACATATATATATATATCGGCTGTAAAAGCAAAATTGCCTAAATCGCGTAACAGCATAATTGTTTATCCCATAAAATATTTCATATCTAAAAAAACACCAAACTAATTGAGTTTCTTTTTCCAGGTTTTCGGATAATACGTTCAGCCATCTTGACATCATGTGTCGTAAGAATCACTGAGAAACCCTTTGAGTTATTCAGCTAAAAAGAGAAGTTAAAATCGTTTTGTGTCAGTCCTACTATGTCTTCCCAACTGAGCAATGGTGAGAGGAAAAAGATCATTCAGTCCTTCAGTAATTGTACGGACATTCGTACTCTGGCTTCCATCTTGAAAGTCCATTCAAGAACCATCAAGCGAACGGTGACTAAGTTTAAAAAGAGGGGACAGTAGAGAGGAAAAACTGGATCTGGAGGTCACAACAGCAACAGAGATCATCATTTCAACTTAGAGCTAAATACATTCTTATTGTTCAAAGTCGAGACCAATCGTGTTATAAAAACATCGCAGACTTCCAGTAAGATACCTTTAATCATTTCTAAGATACAACGGTTCAAACCTTAATCTAACAATTGGACAATTTTGCTCTTACACAATTTGGACAGTTTTGTTGTTACACTCGGTATATATATATACATACATACGTATATATATATATATATATATATATATATATATATATATGAAATATTTTTTACAAAATTGCATAGCATAAAGTTAGAAGGAATATATACAGCAATGATCCTCGAACAAATATTTAATTAATTAGGTTTCCTTCAGTATCACTAATCTGACGAGGTCGGTGGGTGAAGGCAGTCATTCTTGGAATTACTGAGATAGCTGGTTATCAACCACTGGAACTGCGGATGTGAAATCTCTAAAGATTCTATGATTTCAACTGGAATGTAGAAAATCTGACAAAATGTTCCATCTGATTCGGCAGGTTAAAAATTATAATCCGGTCCTTACCGGATGTTCATAGCATTATCCAATCATCAAAATACTCTCCCCGCCTTTTTTTTTAAATGGCTTGACAGCCACTCAAGGTAGATACTTACAGTCAGCATGATACTGATGAATGATCTATGTGACATGAAGGGGAAAGAAGGGAGTAAAATTATAAGGATAGATAACTATTGAAGATTTAAAGAGTCTCTACTACAATATTTCGATGCTCATTGGGGATCCGACATTTATATCAAAATCAGGGGCCTTCGCACTCCTGTTGAAGGAAGCACACCTTAATTGACTATGTCTTCAGGGTGTTAACCGTACTCACAATGTTTGGCCAATTGCGGGTTGATGAGGCTTTTTAGTTCATAAATAGAATGAATGGCCGTTGGTTCATCCATTCTTCTTTTTTTAGTGCTGTTGAGGTCCCATTTACCAGGTTCTGGTGGGGGAGCCGGTTTAGTCACTGACAACTTTGAATTCAGATTTTTCCTTCTCCTACACGATAGGACACAGTCTATCCTGCTATGTACCCATAGCTAGAAGAAATAGATTCATAACTTTTCTAAGGGTATTTGTAAGTGAATCTAATGAATTCGACTGGAATTCGAACTTGCCTCTTTGATTTCTTAATCCAAGCCGCTATCCTTTATTCCATCGTGCATCCTAAATTAATCTAAATTCTGTAAATACAGGAAATGAGCGATTCGCCATGGTACTAAGTCTAGAAACTGAGTCGCCCAGAACATTACTACAGTACTGACTTTGATCCTCATCAGGAACTCTATATTTATTAATCTAAGTTCAATAAATGCGGGAAATTGGTAGCTCGTTGTTTAACTATATCTAAGAAGTACAGTTTTCCTCACATTTTTATATGCTAAAGTTCACTCAATACTAGGCCCGAAAGCCACTCAAGGTAGATTGTTACAGTTAAAAGTCTTGTGATAAATGAGGTGAGTTAGATGAATAAAAGAGTCGCCATTATGAAGATAGGATAATACCTCAATAGTAAGTTCAGTACCAGGTCAGAGCAGTGGTGAATCAAAACTTGGAGAGTTGGGTTAAAGGGAAATAACTGAGACACCCGAAAGAGGCATGGCACGTAGAACTAGAACATTTTACCCCGGTGGACGAAATAAAGGGTTCGGTTCGAAATTCCAATCAGCTGAAGAAGGCCAGAGCGTACAAATGCCGAAATGTTGTGAATATGGCAATGAAGATAAGGATAACAGTCCGAGTAATGTAAATAATGCTAGATAGTGACCATTGACGAAGAGGCTCTACTACAGTTGTGATTTCTATCCTCATTGGGAACCCTATATTTATAATATTTTGCTAAATTAATCTAAGTTCAATAAATACAGGAAATGAGTAGCCCGCGGTGGAACTATATCTGGAAAAGCGAATCTCTCTTTTTATATACTAAAATTCTCTCTATATAAGGCTCTAGAGCAGGAGTCGACAATCCCCGGGCACCGGGCCACATCCGGCTCGCGAAGGAGTTTTGTCCTTGCCCGCCAGGTTAGTACCTGGACAATAATTATGTAATTAATTTCTGGAGTAAATGTCGGAAAAAATAATATCAATTGGAGTTAATTGACTTACAATGCGATGCATTTTTGAAATCAAAATTTAATTCCGAATCCTTTGCTGACTTCTACAAGAAATGTGTTTCGCCGAGCGGAAAATAGAAAAGCCTATTGAATAACGAGAAAAAGGTGATATAATTACTAAGAAGTATATATAATGGTTTTCTAAGCGGGGATTAGTTGTGGTACAAGGCCGAAAGCAAGGGGCACCCACTGAGGATCGAACTCACTGCTCAGTCGTAACTGTTTTAGTGAGGCAAGCGTGCTGACTATTACACCACTTCGGAAGGTCCAATTTGGAAGTATAATCTTTTGCTCCTGTCATCGACAAATATTTCACCTGATGTGAAGAAGTTATCAAACAATAAGCAGAAACAAATGTCTCATTAAATAATTGGTCATTTCTAAATATATTTCGTTTGTAGTAAGACATTTACATTTTTTGTCAATTGTCTTAGTTCTTGTCAAGTCATTTCTGCAAGTAAAATAAGGTTTGTTTGGTTTGTTTTGGTTTGTTTTATGGCATATCAACATCAATGGGTTATTTAATACCGACAAGATTTTTATTGCTGGTCATATTTTCTATCTATCTATCTATCTATCTATCTATCTATCTATCTATCTATCTAAGTATATATTGGTTTGGTTTGTTTTGTTTTACGGCATATCAACCTCAATGGGTTAATACAAGATTTTTATTGCTGGTCATATCTATCTATCTATCTATCTATCTA